AGCTTGATCATCTGAATTTACGGCTCTATGAGGACCAGATCACCGCACTTCTTGGTCATAATGGAGCAGGAAAAACCACTACCATGTGAGAAAAATGCAAAATCGAATCTTGAGATTAAATATGATTTCTTAGGTCCATACTCTGCGGCTTGTACTCACCAACCTCTGGAACAGCTACTGTTTATGGCTGGGATATTCGGAAAGAAATTCAGCGAGTTCGAGATCTACTGGGAGTTTGTCCACAGTATAATGTGCTGTTTTCACAGTGAGTTAAACTCGAGGTTCGTTCGGATAATCTTGCTTATATAATTACTTGTAGTCTGACCGTGGCCGAACAGCTAAGGCTTTTTGCTGCTTTGAAAGGAACCCCAGATTCTCAGCTTGATCGGGTTAGTGATGTTCAAAAATTCTCCTTAACACTTTTCCACTGGCAAGGTCCCTTTTAAGTATTCAAATGATAAGGGTGAGATTTTGTGTGTCTCAATATAAAACATTGACAGATGAGCCAAAAATTGATGAAAATAGAGTGCTGTATTAAGATATACCATTTTGTAGCTTATGATCTTCTCTTTAGAATTTATTCAGAATTTACGCAACAATTTAAGTATCCTTTCACTACCTTTACGTAGTCATATTGGCAAGTAGACAATTCCGTTTTGGATCATATGTGAATTTCTTTCTTTTACGAAAGATAATTTCAACTCAGCATTGATTTATGGGGCTCATTGTATGCTTTTGATTGGCAGAATATAAAACAATTCAGCACGTTCCAGTCAGGAGTTTGCCATAGTCAAACCATACCTTGTCTCAAAGGCTGTACAATAGATTTTTTCGATTTGACAAAAAAGTTACCCTTGGCAAGCGAAGAAAAGATCTTTCTAAAAATACTATTTCTTCATAAACGTTTTGATATAACCTTAAAATTTTGAGTCAATTTTGCCAAAGTAAATTTGAGGCATGTGGTAATGTTCGACTTCCTAGAGCTGCAAACATTGGTCTAGTTGTATATCATACTTCAAAATTTTTGTGCCAGTACTTCTGTTCACTTTTTGGCGGAGTTGTCAATCTACCTAACAAAGAGCTTTATTAGGAAGTTGAAGAAATTCTGACTTCTGTATCGCTTACTGACAAAGCTGATGCACTCGCCA